CGACTGGAGGTCACACCTGAGAAGGCTGCCACACCTGGTGGCACAACGGGCCTCTCCCCTGCCGGAGGGCCTGGGGAGGGCCTGGGTTGGGGGCGCAGGTCTGGGCCGGGCGGGCCTCCCCCAGGCGGCCCCCAGGCCCAGGGCTGATGCAGACAGGGAAGAAGCATGTCGGGAGGGCGCCTGTGGGGCGGTGGGTGAGAGTCCCGGCGCCCAGAGGGTGGAGGGGTTCTGGCTTTGAGTCCGAGAGATGCCCGCTCCGGCCTGGCTCAGCACGACCAGCCGCGAGACTGCACCAGTCGCGGAACATCTGGAGTCTCCGATGGTGCTAAAACGGAGCCAGTCAGCCCCACCCCGGCAGGTCAGCCAGGAGTCTCAGCACAAACGCCGAGGGGTGCGGGCTCTTCTGCCTCCTCTTCCACTGGCACCTGCCTCCTGCCCGCCTCAACCCTTCACCTCTCCCCTTCACCCTCCCTCCACCCCCCGTGGGGCATGCAACGCCACTCTCTCAATTAGTCGCCTCTTCAAATGTCTGTCACCCCTTCGCAGACCAGTTTCATCCCAGTCTCATCCGTTCCAGGCCGTCCAGTATGTGCGGAAAGAATGGAGCTGGGCCTGGTCCCTGGACACCCCCAATCCGTTTTTATAAAACTCAAAAACTTGGCCCTCCCTGGGGGCGCAGCGGGTTAAAACCCAGCACTGACAGGCTGAAGCCACTTCCCCATGAGTTTGACCCCCGCCTGCCCCGGAGGTGACCCCAGGGCGCAGCAGACCTCTCCTGACCCGGCCCGCTGCTCCCCTCAGCAATGTACTTAGTCGATCTGCCTGTTCTGCTCCCCACTCTGTCTCTGGGGAGTCTTCTCACCGCCTCTGCACCTCTGGCCTGTACCCCAGTTCTGTATGCAGAAATAAGTAAATCTTAAACAAAAGAAACAAACTCAAAAACCAAGCTGCAGGCGTCCTGCGGCCAACTTCTACGCCAGCTGGCAGAACAGACAGCCTCCTGGTTCTAAAGGCAACTTCATTTCAGGGCGCAGCAGGTAGGCGGCAGCTCGCTACTAGCACCGCGGCTTCCGGGAGGACCAGGGACACAGCGCCCCCTTCCGGGGTCTCCAGGCAGCTGCGCTGGACGCTGTGGGGCCGTCAATGTTTTGCTTTGATCGTATTTTTTATGATGAGTCTGAGTAGCAGAAAGGCTGGTTGTGAGGAAGTCTCACCCCAGGGAGGCAGGGAAGAGACCCCTGACGGAGCCAGGTCTGCTGGCCCTGCTACTCTCCCAGGCTGCCGGGGAGTCTGTGCTGGACGCTGCTGCCCGCCGAGCAGAGCGGCCCCCGGGGCTGCTGCCCGGGTGGTACTACGGCCCTGAGCCCTCGGAACAATCCAGAACACCTGTGCCGCGGTGGGTGGGGCCAGACTCCTCACCACCGCGGACACCTGGCCACTCCTGCACTCGGGCAGCCTTTTGGGGCCGACCCACTGGGCCACGGAGGGACAGGTGCGTCTCCCTCCACCTCTCCGCTGCCGTCTGGCCTCTGGGAACCGCCGTGACACCGAGACTTACCCCACCTGGGGCAGTCCAGCGCCCAGCAGTGGACCCTTAAGCAACCCCACGCGTTCCCGGCAGCCCTAGGGAGTAATCAGCACCTGAGATGACCCCACCTGAGAGACGGTGGCTTTGCCTAAAATAATCTTTTCTTTCGTTTGCTAATAACCATGTGCCCTGTAGTGGGGCCACTGGGCACAGGGCGGGCAGACAGGCAGCACCCCCATCTTTACTCTTTCCCTGGGCTCTCTCTGGCGGTCTCTGTGGTTTCGCCTCTCCTGGGGTCACACCCTCTCCCTCTCCCAGCCACTGTCCTCCTGTGCCCCGCTAGCGCCCAGCCTCGAGGCTCAGGGGTGCACACGTACGCATGCCCACACCCGTGTCCACGGCACCCACGACCACACCCGGCGCCCTGCACCGCGCTCCCAAGCGCCTTCCGCAGCGACACGATCCAGGCCACAGGTGACAGCCAGAGGCCGGTGGCACAAAGGCCTGCACCGCTGCTGCCGCCCACGAACACTTCCACTCAGCACCCC